TATTTTCACACATGCATATAAAGTACATCAACAATATTCACCCTCCTTCACCCTCTCTTATATTTAGGAAGTATATATGGGGTCCCTTCTAGCAAAAGAAAGTCATCACTTGGTTGAGATTCAGTTCATATCACCCACAAATATAGAAGAAAAAAATAGAAGACAATAATGCCATCCTAAATTATTATCTGACATTAATTAACCACCATAAAACCAGAAGTAGTGCTATGGCTCAAGTGGTAGAGCACTCACCTTGAGCTGAAGAGCTCAGGGACAATGCCCAGGCCCAGAGTTCAAGCCCCACAACAACCAAAAAAAAAAGCAAAAAAGAAAAAAATACAATAGATAGAATCTAGGCCTAAAAATGTAAGGCATAACATGGGAATATTTGGGGAGCTAAGAAGTAAGATTGGGAAAGGGGCAAAGGAGAAGGTGATGATGGGGGTGTGAATCTTAAAGAAGGACATTATGCATATGTATGAAAATGGCAAAGTGAAACACACCCAAATGAGCGTCAGGAAGAAGAGAGGGTTAAGAAAATAATATAGAATGGGTGAATTTCATCAAAGTATATATGTGCATTTAATTAAATATTGCAGCAAAACTCTTTCATACAATTAAGTTAAACTAATTAATATTTTTAAAGAATTGTCCAAACTGGTGTCAGTGGCTCACATTTGTCCAACATCCTAGCTACTCAGAAGTTTGATATCTGAGGATTATGGTTCAAAGCCAGCCTAGGCAGGAGAGTCCATGAAACTTCAATTAACCACCAAAGTACCAGAAGTAGAGCTTTAGCTCAAATGGTAGAATGCTAGCCTTGAGCATAAAAGGTCAAGACAGGACCAAAACCCTAACTTCAAGCCCCAATATTGGGACAAAAAATAAAAGAAGTATCTACAAGAAGATGAGCTCAATTTGCTCGCTCTCTCTCTCTCTCTCTTAAAATTTTTATTTTATTGTAGAGATGCTCTACAGAGGGGTTAGAGTTACATGAGTAAGGTACTGAGTACATTTCTTGTCGAGCATTTTTATATGAGCTCAATTTTCAAAGACTGATTTGGAGTGGAGGCTACCTGCCTTTGCCAAAGTTCCAATTAACATTCATCAACACACACAGTCTTGGAATCAAAAGTTTTATTGCATTGTGGAGTATACAGGTAGACAGCATATCAGAATTTTCTGAGAGCTTCTTACCTATCCTAATGGCTTAAGCCTCACTTTAGGAATGCTGACCTTGAGGTTTATTGATAGAAGGACTGAATAAAATATTGAAGTAAGCTTATTCTCCCTAGTATCCACAGAATCTAAAGTGATAGGACTTTTCCTTGATGGCTGAGAACAGAAAGAGAGAAGCTTTTTCTCTGATGTTAGCCCTCATTTTTTTTTCAGTTTATCACCCACTTTTGCTGACTGAATCTTTACACTTGCTAACTAATAGAACACTATATAATAGCAACATCAAAAGTGGAGCCACTGACACTTAAATCTTTACAGAAAATGGCAGGGGAGTTAGATACTGAGAAAGTACTATAAATGATCCTTTGGAAACCTTGCCATATAGATACAAATCCAATTGGCCTTGGACTTTGAGTTCTAGTGGGATATAAAAAAGATGCACCCTGTCCATGGTTTTCATTCAACCCTGACCTGTTTACCATGGTCCTTTTCTGTGAAGTTAGTGCATTATAATAAAAATCGTTGACTTGAAAAAAAAGATATTGGAAAGATAATATACCAAGTGTTATCAGTGCAGTAGATTTAATTACTATTATGATGTCTGGAGGAGCTATCAGTCCAGATGCCCCTCAATAGACAAATGGATCAAGAAACTGTGGTATATATACACAATGAAATTCTATTCATCTATTCAAAAGAATAATATATCATTTGCAATAATGTATCCTTTGCAAAGAAATAGAAGGACTGGAAAAAATATGTTGAGTAACATAAGCTAAGGCCATAGAGACAAAGGTTGTGTGTTTTCTCTCATATATGGAAACTACAATTAGTTTGTAAACATGTAAGTAAATTCGTTGGGTGGCATGAAAGTGTATAGAAATGTGATAACTGAAGTACAGTAGATTCAAGGGAGAACTCAAATAGCATAATTCCTTGAGAGGCAAAGTCAAACTTCCACAAATAAACACCAGGAAAAGGGTACTTGAAATGAGTGGAATGGAATCAAGGGGAGAGGGGTAGACAAATGAAGAGGAAATAGTGGGGGCAGGGGCCAGAGGAGAATGCAGTCAAGCATTCAACGTATATCCTACAAAATTAAGAAAAATGAGGGGAAAGGGTGGTTTGGGAGTGTTTGGTGAGAATGTTCAAAGGAGTAACATTGATCAACACGTGTTGTAGTCATAAATTTACTTTGTTGAATGACAACTGCTTTATAAAACTACTTAAATTTTTAAAAAGAACAAATTCTCCAAGCAATAATCTACATGAAGTAGTAGCTTCCATTAATCTTAAAAAAACCCCAAAAACTAGCCTTGAGTGGCTTTTAAGAAACTGCATCTTCTATAATTCCTGCTGCCTTTAAGTCCTTAAACAAGGCTGTGATTTTCATTATTTCTGAGATTCTCCATGGTTTCTACTGGACCTGAGAGAAAATAAGGAAAGAATTGGGGATTGATTTACAAACTTAGCTTTTCTACAGTAGCTCTTCCTAATGAAGAGAATTCCTTCTGGCCTTTATTGGCAGTTACAGTTAAATATTAATACCCATTATACATTTAGCATAAGGATGACATGCTGAATTGCTCCAAAGAGCCTCCTATACAAGGCCTCTTTAGATTTCCTGAAATAAATCCTATCCAAACCCAATGAGGCGAATTCTGGTTCTCTAATGCTTCATAATTCCCAACCTATATGTGGCTTGGATGCTGTTTCCAATAGAGCTATTGAGTCTGACTTCCTCTTCTCCTTGAAGTTCTTCATTAAGGATTGGAGACAGGAGAATGCCATGTGGTTGTTCAGGCAGAGGAGAGTATATTAGCAGAAGCCAAACTACCAGCCTGCACAGACAGAGGTGTGCAGGGGCGAATGGGGAAGGGAGGTCAGGTAAGACAGGGTATATAAGGAGAGGGCTGGGAGCAGGTATGGCTGCAATGGATGCCAACATGATTTCAGAGCCTGGGAACCTGTTCTCATGGTCTGAAGGAGGCATGGCCAGGACAGATAAGGATGTGACCTCAGAGCTAGAGGAAGTGACCTCAGATCCTAGGGGACCTCCCACGATTCCCAGCTGCACCAATTGTCTGGGTTACAGATGCTGGGTGGGGACTTCTAAGGTGCCACAAGAGAGAACAAAGGCAAAAGGAACATTTTACCAGGGTAGACCTAACAGGTTACGGCTCTAGCTCCATCTTAGAAATAAGGAAACTTTGATTTTTATTATTAATCACCTTTTCTCCTTGAGGTAATTGAGGTCACTAAAAAGGAAGAGAGGGATTTCAAAGCCTGGAAGGCAATTCAACTAGACCCATATGAGCAAGGCACATTTACTCTTAATTTGGGATGCTATGCTGATGTCTGTCTTTCAGCGCAACAAAATGGGGTCTGAATATTTTTGGTTTATTTACGCAGTCTTATGTCAGTAGTAATGCCATAATACTGCCAACAACAGACTGGTAGATTAAAAGCATCCCCCTTAGGAACAACAAATTATGGAAACAAATTAAGGTGGACAATCTGCATCATTTACATAAATGTCACTGTAAGGGCCTGTGTTCTGATGTGACCCTCTGGACTATGTTCTTCTATCTATTCATGCATTTATTAATTCAGTTTAATCATTTGTATTTTTTCATTCATCAAATAAATATCCCTAGAAATTGAAAACCAATAAAAATATCCTGCAAGTCCTCCAACCACTTATAGTGGTTGCAAATTTCTCAGTGTTCATAATCAGTTTATGTCCATGTTTTTAGAAATTGTCTGGTAAGGGATAAGATTTTCTGCTCATAGAATGATTATTAGGAGTGGAAGATGACTGGTAGTCTGATGAGGAAGTTTATCCCACCTATGGAAGAATTCACAAGACAGTTTTGAGAATATATATCCCAGGACTCTGCCTTTAAGCACTTCAGGAATTTCTCCTCATTAACAAATGTTAAGATGAAGGAACATTTGTGTGCACTTGAAAATAACATGTCAACGTATTTGTTATTTTTTAAAGATGTCCTTCTACAAATCGCTTTCATCCATCAGTCCTTGATCTTTTCTCTCTCAGAAGATAGTCACTATCAGCAATCCCTTCTTGTCACTGGAAACTGCAGAATGTCTAAGATTTTAGCGTCTTCCCCCCCCTGCAAACTAAGAAGAATGCCACCACTTTGAAGATGCTGCCCAAGACAAAGGATATTATTAGTTGCAACAACAATACCTAACATTTCTAGCTTTTCAAACCTCATTTTTATAGGGCCATGCTGAGATGCCTATATGATAAACTCACATAAAAGCTTTCTTTTATAGGTCACATTCCCTCAGTTGAGGGAACACATATATTTTTATAATGGTCAGTAAGTAAACTTATTCTTTGCTCAGCAAGTAGATACTATTCATATTTCCTAAAGCTATAGTTATACAAGATCCTTGAAAAAATGGTTCAGTACAGAAGCAGTTGATGTGTCTGCTTGTTCTGTAAGGTCCAATAGATACCAAAGAGCATGGAAATACACATGAGAAGAAAAAACACTCTTTAGTCCTCCTCTTCTTATTAATCATGTTCACCTTATACCAAATTTTCAGTTTACTTTGTAATAATCCAATTTCAACGTTCCCTAGTTGAAATCTTTGAAATTTGAAAACTCCTCTTTGAATAACTGTCCCACTTTATGTTTTCTCTTTGGGAGCAATATAAAAATGGGTTAAGCAGTACATTCATATTCTGAAACTGACATAATCACCACCTAATAATATTTATTCACTTCGTAGATATTTTAAGGCAAACACTGCAAGTTTGAGAAAACTGACTTTACATTTTAGAAAATAAGCACGTGTTGATTTTTGGTTGCAGTGGACCAAAGGAACATGTTTCCTGTGTTGAACAAAATAATGAAAATCAGTGCTTTGAGAGTGAAACTGATGAAAAGACAAGTGCATGTATTGGAGTATTTTCTTCGTTTCTTTGCCTACTGGGTAAATGCCTTGTTCCCTGTGGGTATTCTTTCTAGTAGTGTTCAAATAAAAGAAAACATTATTACTAATTTCTGGACTGGTCACCATATTGCCTTCCTCTGCTATTTAAACTGACATTGAATATGTATCATTTTGAATAGTTATGTATTTAATTTCGGGACCTATGATTTGGTACTCAGTCTTAACTTGTTAGATCATAGAGATATTTGTAAGACACTTAAATTTTCCTCTCTTGAAAGTGTTTTTATTTAGCATAGAATCAAACTCCTTGAGACAGTTGTAATACGCTAAATGTGATTCCAAGAGAGGAAGTCATCTAGCTTGGCAGTGACACTGTTGTTCTCCAAAGAAGGGGAGGGAGGGTGGATGTCCAGCTCAGCTCATGCATACTTAGAAAACAAATCTTTGGATTTCCTGTCTGTCCACAAGAATATTTATATTTTTAATTCCTGAAGGTAAAGTCATCAGGACTAAGTAAAAAAAAAGACAAAAAACAAAAAACAAATCTACCAGCTTATCAGGCAGCTGAACTAAATAAATAGTGGCGTCTATAGTAGAAACACCTCAGTGTTTTCATCATAGGGAAACATATTGCTAGCCTATGTTACTTAGACTCTGAAGGCTTGGTTTCTTTACATGAAGAATTATGAGATTTTAATAAGAATATATTTAGTGCTAACTGGTGAACAGTAGCTATATTATACTACTGAAATGAATTGCAAGTTTTACCTTTTATTAAGGTTCTGTTTTCATTAAAATTTGGAAAATAAAGACATCACTGAGAACTTTAGACTTTTACTGATGAAGACTTATTTTGTATTTAAAGTGCATTTTCCCCCTTTTCTATTGCATTTCTGTCTTTTGAACAGTGATAATTCGAAGCAATTTTAGGGATGCATTCTATGCTCAAATAAATCTTCTATGCAAAAAGATAAAGCCTGGTAATTTGACATTCCAGCGTTCTAGTGAGAAACAATCAGAATTGTTATCAGCTCCTAGAGCAAAGGAGGTGGTTCAATGAGTGACAGCATCTATTTTTTGTTTTCTTGATAATGGTCATTCTAATGGGTGAGGTGGAATGTCAGTGTTGTTTTGATTTTCACTGCCTTCATGGCCAGAGAGGTTGAACATTTCTTCATGTGTCTGTTGGTCATTTCTACTTCTTCTGAGAAATCTCCCTTTAAGTTCTTAGCCCATAATGATGTTATTTCTTTCAGGGTTCAATTTTTTGAACTCTTAAGTATAGTCTGGATATTAGGCCCTTGTCTGATGTATAGCTTTTCTCATTCTGTTAGCTATTTAGCTTGTTAGCTATGTCTTACAGTCTTACTTCACAGAAAATGTTAATTTTGATGTAATCCAATCTATCAAGTCTTTAATTTGCTGTGTTTCTGGATCTACATTTAGAATGCTTCCATCTGTTCCCAGGAACACTAGTGTTTCTCCTTTCTTAAAAGTTTCATGGTTTCTGCTCTTACTCTGATATCTTTGAATCATTTTTAATTTATGCTGCTACAAGTGATAAATGAAGATCTAGTTTCAGTTTTCTTCATGTGGATATTCAATTTTTCACTACCATTTGTTGAAGCAGCTGTCTTTCTTTCAGCCTATGGTTTTGTTGCTGCTGCTGCTGTTGTTGTTGTTGTTGTGGCCGTGGGGCTTGAACTCTGGGCCTGGGCACTGTCCCTCAGCTCTTCAGCTCAAGGCAAGTGCTCCACCATTTGAGCCACAGAGCCACTTCCGTTTTTTGGTGGTTTATTGGATATAAGAGATTCATGGACTTTCCTACCCAGGCTGGCTTTGAACCATGATCCTCAGATCTCAGCCTCCTGAATAGCTAGGATTATAGGTGTGAGCCACTGGCGCCTGGTGATCCAGCTTATGTTTTAGCTCCTTTATCAAACATATTAGATGAGTATATTCTGGGCCTTCAATTCTGGCTGGAGATGATGCAGCCAACAAGGAAGACTGTTACACTGTTAGTGGGGATATAAGCTTCTGGAAAGCAGTATTGAGGTTCCTCACAAAACTAAACATAGGATCATTCTTTGGCCCAGCAATTCTACTCCTGAGCATTTACCCAGTAGAATACAAAGAAAGTTATATAAAAGCCATTATCACAATTGTGTTCATTGCAGCACTATTCACCATGGCCAAGATATGGAAGCAGTCCAGATATTCCTCAATGGATGAATGAACAAAACAAATGTGGTATATACACATAATGGAATTTTAGTCATCCATTAGAGAAAATGATGTCGTACCATTTGTAAAGAAATAGAAAGACTTAGAAAAAATCATATTAAGTGAAGTAATCCAGACCCAGAAAACAAAGGCTGCATGATTTCCCTCATTTGTGGTTGATAGAATATGCCTGTAAATCTATAACTAAATATGTTTGGTCATCTGTAAATGGTTACAAATGAAATGACTGAAGTATAATAGACTTTATGGAAAGTTCAAAAGTATATCTATATGAAAGAGTAGGCCAAAGCCCAAGAAAATAAGCACCAGAAAAAGGGGAGATGCAAAGGAGGGATGGGGCCAAGGATAGAGAAGTAAACAGATAAGAGGGGAAGGAAGAGAACACAGTCGAGTAGTCATTGTATATACCACAAAATTAAGAAAAATAAGGGAGGAGGATGGGTCAAAGGGGCGTGAGAATGTTGAAGGGGTGACAGATTAAGATGCATTATATAAAAAAATCTGCTTTGTTAAATAGCACCTCCTTGGTACAATTACTTGAAGATAATAAAAAATTTAAAGAAAGAACTGATAGGACTTGATGACAAAGGAAATTGAGTTGAATGGCATAAGAACAATGGTTGGGATATGAGAGAGGAAAGTGGACTAGGGATAAATGGGTAATTTTTATTATGATATCTTCAAGTTGAAGTAACAGGTGAAAATTAAAAAAAATATTTGGAAAAAAATGATAAGATATAGTGGTTGGGAACTAAGTATGGTGTCAAAGTAGGAGAGTGTGAGAAAATAGAAAGAGCCAAAGGTCTGAAGTTGGAGACTAGAGTTTACATCTTGGCTCGAACATTAAGCAGTCATGTCAAGCTCATTAAATAGTGCCCTCTCTATCTGTAAAATGAAGCAATACTTATTGTGATTGTCGTGCAAGAGTGTATTAAAGATCAAATAAAATAATTATTTGTGAAAAGATAAATGCTGTGGATATCACATAGATTTAGAGACAACCAGGGACATGGCCAAATGCCTCTTAAAATATTCTGTTGTAATGTTTTAGTTGTTCAGTGATTAATTCTAATTTCCTGCTTAGAAAACTGATACCAGTTAACTAGACTTAGATGTGGCTGCTAATGAAACTAAATAGATAATATGAGAACATGAAAAAACCCACAATGAACATATCTGAAAGTGTGGTCTCTGTTAATAAAAAAAAAAGAGGAAACCAGGGGAGAGAGAAAAACTTGATCACAGAAAATCTATTAATCTAAGAAGGAAACATGGCATAGATATAAGTTAGAGAACTAGGATGATTGCTTTTACATACTTAACTGTCATAATATATGTGGACAAAGCCTGTGTTTCACTTTCTAAGTTTAAAGTGATAGGCTTTGATGAGCAAATTATCAGTCCTTTTGAAGTTATAATACCTATATCATGCTTTGTTAGAACATTAAAAATACTTATTTTAGAGAATCTCAATATTGCCCTCAAAAATTTCAGGCTAAGGGGCTGGGAAGATGGCTCAGTGGTAGAGTGCTTGCCTTGCATGCATGAGGCCCTGGGTTCGATTCCTCAGCACCATATAAGCAAAAAGAAAAAAAGCCAGAAGTGGCGCTGTGGCTCAAGTGGTAGAGCGTTAGCCTTGAGCTGAAGAGCTGAGGGACAGCGCCCAGGCCCAGAGTTCAGGCCCACGACCGGACCCCTCCCCCCGCCAAAAAAAAAAAAGTTCAGGCTATCACATATACTTTTCTTCTGTTAAACAGATATATCTTCTAATTAAGAATAAAATTGCAGCTAAGTTGTGTTTCTCCATATACTATTCTTTCCTGTATGTGTGCAGGTTGTGGGGCTTACCTTCAGGGCCTGAATGTTGTCCCTGAGCTTCATCTGCTCAAAGTTAGCACTCTACCACTTGAGCCACAGCTCTACTTTCAGATTAGATTTTTAGTAGATTATTGAAGCTAAGAGTCTCAGGGACTTTCCTAACCAGCCTGGCTTCATACTGTGATCCTTAGCCTCCTAAGTAGCTGGGATTTCAAGTATGAGCCACCATACCCAGTGAAATTTCTTTTACTTAATGTTGTTGAGCCATTAAGGCGAATTTTATGTTTTTTTTGTTGTTGTAGGCAATGAGATTAGAGCAAAGGTTTTCTGACCTTTATATTCATGCATTAAATGTTCTCGATGGTCCCTATTTTACAAGTGATAATCCTGAAAAAAAAAAAAAAAAAAAACAAACAAAACAAAATTAGAGGTCTCATAAGACCTGATTTCAAAGCATAATAAAAAGTAACATTAAACTCAATTGTGTAGTACTGGTATAACGATATATTTTTGGATACAGGAATTAAACTCTTCCATATCTGGCCAAACGATTTTCAGTTAGATAAAAAGACTATATAAAAGAAAAAGAGATTCTTGACTAAAGGGTGGTGGGAAAGTTGGATTGTCCAGATGAAAAAGGATGAAGTTAGATCTTAACTCAAAATAGATTAAAGATGTAAGTAAACCTTAAATTGCTAAATTCTGTGAGGAAAACATAAGACCATACTTTAAAAGCAAAAAGGTATTTGCTATATGTGGATAAAGCTAATAAGCTACCCTTTATGGACTACCTTTTATTTTGATACATAGAACCTCCTAGAGAGAAGTTGACTTTAAATCCTCTAATTACTCACAAGAAATAAATTCTCAAAGAATAATTTTGATGAGGTAGTTATATTCTTGTGTTCATTTCAGCATTTTTTCACAGTTGTAAAGA